CTTTTGTTAAAGCCCAGTTTAAATACTGCCACCTCTGGGAACATGCTCCCGAGTCTTGCCTTCCCTCCTCAGTGCAAAGTCCTATTGCAGCATTCACCATACTGTACCATAGCCACCGTACTTTACACTTTAATGTAGATATTTAACCATTTACAAAAATAACCAGGATATATCTCCCTAGCTACCTTAACACTCAACCTCATCATTTATTGGCCTAGGCCAATCAACCAGGCCCCAACCCTGACTAGGTGACTTTAAAGCAAATCCCACAGAAAAATTATTTTATCTGTACACACTTCAGTGTATACCACCAACAGATAAGTACAACTCCATTATTACACCTAAAGTAATCATTAACTCCTTAATATAAACCTCATTTTAGTGTTCCCATTCTTCCAATTTTCTCATAAATGTCTTTTTATAGCCGATTTATTTGAATCGGGATCCAAATAATGTCTTGCATGTCTTTTAAGTTACTTTAAATCTATTTTATTTGAAGGATGATTTGTTGAAGAAACGGAGTCATTTGTCCTGCAGAATACCTGGCATTCCAGACATTGTAAATTTCATCTCCCTGACGCTGTTTTACAGCGTTTCCTCCACCCCAGCACTTCCAGTGAACGGGCAGTTGGCAAGGGACTCATCAGATGGGAGAAGACTTTCTCAAGGGCAGGGATCCAGCGCTGACCCCGTACTTGGTACCAGAGAGCAACCCAATTAATCAATGATTCAGTAAGTGACAAAACAGATTGGAGGTGCTGATGTTACTGGTGCACTTCTCTGCTTCCGTCCTTTCCACTGGTCCCATTTTCAAGCGTGATCCTCCCTGGCATCAAGGGTATGGCGCTTCTCCAGTTCTGGGCCCTTCAGAAAGAAAAGGTCCTGTTCTCCTTCTTCAACTGGGAATAGGTATATAATACTTAAGACTCAAAGTTATAAAACAGTCTAAGCACTGAATGATGTTCTTCTGGTTTTTAAGAAAATAGTTTAAGAAAAATAACCATCAGTGGGGCAGATGAGCCCTGGGCAGTGGCTCAAGGTGGCTTGGTTTCACTGATGGACATTCTTACACAACTCCAGAAAGGCAGCATTCGTGCCCCCAAACTACCCTATTGAGAATGCTTCCCCTGTATTTCTCTAAAACAAGAGTCCTTTTTTTTTTTTCCTACAAGAAACATTTCAATTGTTTTCTAGAAATCTAGGCCCAGAATTAATCAAATCAGAAACCTCAAATCCTTTATTTCCCTTGTCCTTCAAGTTCAACACCTTGGTGTTGTTTAGCACCACACATTAATTTTAGAGAGAAAACTAGATCTGCTAAGCCTGCCGTTGACACGCATGGGTGTCATGGGATGGAAACATCCAGAGAGAGCTGTTTAGGTCAGGGCCTGTGTTCTAATTAACTCAGGATTAAATCGTCATATCCGCAACTGAGTGAACTACACGTACTGATGCAGATTTTTACTATTCCAGGGATTTAGTGTTTACTCAGACCCCATCTTTGTTCTAGATCACATCACTGGCCTTTTAAGAAACCAAAACAGGACTCTCAACATGAGGGTGGGGGACATGAGTTTTACAGCTATTAGATGAAGGTAATGAGTGAAAAAAGACTGGGAACAGTCCCTGACCTTTGGCCCCTGAGAAGTCCCTGGAAGCATACAGAACCATTAAGTTCTGGAGAAAGATTTTGTGGGAAGGTTGGTTGGTTGGTTGAATTTTGTATATTCCTGGTAACTGAGAAGCTTCCCACAGAATGAATTTGCTTCTAAGAAACTGTGGGGAAAAACATCTCACTGCACATTATCCTATTTTACTTCTGATGGGTACTGAATAGATTTGTGTTCCCCACTTTACAGTAGGGGTGATGCTCATATATATATTATAGTATCCCCTAAATTATTGTATAAAATTCCATAAAATATGTAATGAAAAGGGAGTAAGTTAAATTTTGCCACCAAAAAGGGGGCTAATAGTTATAAAGTTTAACTTACAGAGAACAAATTTATGATTATTCCAAATGAACAGGAATTTTATTAATACTGTGTTCTGAAAGTATCCTTAGCTACTTTTAAATATTCTTAAAATGGTCAAAGTGTGTTTCAGCCACATTTTCCCCAAATGCCAGATGCTTTCACAATTCTGTGACTTTATGTCTACTATTTCTTCCCCCATACTGAGATAGCTTTATCGCTCCAGCTTCCCAAAGCCACTATCCAGCTAAATCCAACTCATTGTTCAGAAATGAACTCAACCAGTTCCCTGCTTGGGGACATTCTATAGGAATGGAAGATGTTCCTGCAGAAATCATTCTTTTATAATCATAAACTCCCCTATTTAAAGGCTATCTAGACAGGAAGAGCCTCTAGGAAAGGACCTCCACATGCTGAGGTCCATATGGCTTGGCCACATGGCAGGCGCTCGATAAAATGATAATAACAGACATTTATCATCCAATAAACTTTCACTTCTTTAATTATATTTTTAAGATCTGTTGCAATTGTCCAATACCCTACAGCATTCAGTACCATCTGGCCCAGAATCCTCTCCTCCCAAATTTCAATCCAAGAGACCCTGAATCCCTTATACAATTGTCCTTGAGCCAGCCCATGAGTGTCAACATGGAACCTTAAATACAGATAATAACCTAACTATGCCAAAACCAAATGAGAATTCTACTTACAAACCATATTTCTTAATTTTACTGTAATAAATTCATTTTTCTTGAGTTTTTCATTTGTTAAATAAATTAGCAATGAACCAATGAGAGAGAATGAATCGAAGAGTACTTTGAAATTCTAGAGCTCAAAAAAAAAAAAAAAAACATACATATATATATATATATATGACTTCCTATGGCAGCTGCCCAATTAATGCCATTGATAAAGCCATTCAAATGCTGTGTGTGGGCTGAAATCCAATTAAGTCATTTCTGTCTGAATATCCCCAAAGAGCCTCCTGGTGAGCTCGAAGTGGAAATTATCACAAATGCCAGATTAGCTGTGTAAGCACTTCCAAAGCTGAAACCAGACAAGAGCGTGAAAATCTACATGTCCAGCCTTTTAATTGGGCACAAAGAAAAAAACATTTCAATGACCACCTGGCAGAAAGTCAAACCCATTTCCTTGGTCTCCCAGGTTTTCTCAGATAATCCTCACCCAGTGTAAGCGTCAAAAAGAAAAAGCTTTGATCCCTTCATTTACACACATTATGAAATGATAAACTTCCACTCCACAATGCAATTTTGTGCACAGAGGAAACAGAGTCAAGAGGAGATTTCAAACTTTCTCTGAATTCGCCATTTTACTCAACCAACCCCTTTATGGAGTATGTCTTGAAATTAATAAACTCTGAAATTCATAATTGCCTCTTTGCATGGAATTTGTCCCATAAAAACATGCAAGCGAAGCCAAAACCTTTTGAGAGGCTGCGGGACAAAACAGATTCAGCTCATGAGTTCAATTTCTCTTTCATCTTACAACCCATCACTCAGATTTACAACTCGGCAAAATACAGAGTATCTTCAGCTTATGTACAATAGCCGAAATCTTGAGTGTTCTAACCATGCTGTCCAGAAATGGGAAGGGCTTTAGCTTGCCTATTCATTCTAAATGGATCCCACCTGAGACCTACTGAATTACAATATCTGCAGTTTGGAAAAGCTCCTAGGTGGTTAAAATGTCAGCCCCAGTTAAGAACCAGTACTGCAGAGAAAAGACCAGAAAGTGAAAAGGGCCAGTTCAAGAAGCCCTATTCTCTCAACCCTAAATATTCAAATACAAGGGTTGTCTGAAAGAAGATTAATCCAGGTAATGAAGTTGGCCGTGCCTCTGTGTATGATGTAAAGGACGCAAGGACTTTGTTTTAAACTGGATGCCAATCCCCGTTCTATGTCTTTGTAGTTACAGGGTGTTGAGGCTGCTACTTTGCCCCAAAGCCTGTTTCCTTGGAGGCAGTATCAGTCACCTCGCTGGTGGAATGAAAGTCACACTTATTCAATGAAAATGTGTTGCACATCTGCTGTGTGCAAACACTGTACATAAATAAGGCACAGCACAGATGCTGTCCTTCCTAAGGAACTCGGGCTGGTCAGGGACCAAAGTCAAATAGGAGGTGACACAGTGTGCTCTTTATTTCATTTGCTATAAGAAAACACACCTACAAAAAAAAAAAATCAGGGGCGCCTGGGTGGCTCAGTTGTTAAGCGTCTGCCTTCGGCTCAGGTCATGGCCCCAGGGTCCTGGGATAGAGCCCCTCATTGGGCTCCCTGTTCAATGGGAAGCCTGCTTCTCCCTCTCCCGCTCCCCCTGCTTGTGTTCCCTCTCTCACTGTCTCTCTCTGTCAAATAAATAAATAAAATCTTTAAAAAAAAAAAACAGCTGAACTGTGTGAGATAACTTATAAAACAGATGTGTGCTACCCAAAATATCTGCCAGTATCTGCTTTAAAAAATAAAAAATAAAAAATTCTAAGGAGACAAGCAAACTGAGTGTGTGTGTGTGTGTGTGTGTGTGTAACAGCTTTAGGTAAAAAATAATTTATGATGCAACAGAAAGTAGGACTAATCTCGCTTTCCAGAGACCAACCTTCCAATAGGAAGGTCTCTCGGGATCTCTTCTCCAAGCAAAACCTTCCTCGGTGGAACAATGCCAAGGTTCCCTGAAACTCACTATCCCAATACTGTTCCCGCTTCTAGACAGACTTCAAGTTAATTAATCCAACAAGTATGTTTTGAACTCCTACCAGTACCGTGCTCCACAGGAGTTCTAGATTCTGATTCCGTCATGGATGCTCCCTATCTCTCCATCCGTTTATCACCTACAAATCTGACACACAGGTTAACATCCATGCTGCGGCACAGATCACAGCCAAGGACAGCAGGCATCTGAGACCTGAACTCAGGGACGATCGAGCTAGCAGTCCACATTCTGTGGCTGTGGCCGTCCAACCAGCTCCTAATCCACATAATAGTTCAACATGCATGGAGACAGGCCTGTTACCTGATTTGGTGAACGAGCTTTGGCTCTGGAATGAAATGCCAACTCCACCCCTGCTTGGCTCTGTCTTTCGGCCAGATGGCTTACCACGTCTAAAGCTTAAGTTCTCTCCTATAAAATAGAGGATAAAGAGAAAAGGATTACCTTACAGATGTGTTGTATACAGTAAGTAGCCATAAAAAGCACCCAGCAAAGTTCCCGGTACATAGTAGGTGCTCAGAGAAAACATTACTTTGTTCCCCCTGTGAGACACTGAAATGCCTATCCTCGTGGCGGTGAGTGAGCTCAGGGCCACCCTGCCCCTAAACACCCAACCTTTGAATGGGGCCGGCTGGAGAACACCAAGAGCAATCCCCACAGCTGTTATCAGAGGAGATAAGCTTAGCCAACTGGGAGATCAGAGGACAATGAGTGGAGGTGAGAAATGTCCTTTCTCTCCTTTGGCCCCGGCACTCCCTATAATTCCTTTGTGCCATGAGCCACTCCCCTCACTCCACTGAGCTACGTCTCACATACTCTGTCCCTCACATTTTCTCCTTTTCTGTCTGTTGATGCTGTACACCCTTTTTTTGTATGGAAATGGACTATGAATGTAAAAAACACATGACTGTTCCCCAACCTCGTACGGAGTGCACGAGATGATCTGGGGGTAAGCGGAAGTCAAGGGCACTGGTCAGGGGATAGGGTTGGGGGAACAGAGCACGGGGAGGGCAGACGACCACAGACAAATCCCCAAGACGACTACGGCCCAGAAGGCTCCTAAAGAGTGACCAGGGTCAAGAGGGGAGGGCCCAGGGTGAGCAGGTACGTTAACACTAGAGATAGAAGTGGGTCCGACTTTATGCAGGCACCCTGCTGACATCCAGCCACGTGGCATCAAGGAGAAGAGATGCCGACAGGCTCCTGGCTGCCAGCTTTCACCTCCATTCCGTAATCTGGTTAAAGGCCTCTTTCCTGATTCTGCCTTTTTCTCCATTTAGAAAATAAGGACATTCGCTATCTCCAGCCTTCTGGTACTTCTCTCCTTCAAGGCCGCAAAGAATATCAGCAGGGATCCTGCCATCCACCTGTGAGCGCGCATATGTCATCTGAACCTCAGTGTGTGAATACAAAGCAGTCAAGCACTCTCCTCCTAACTTTTCTCCTTTTGAGCTTTAATTTCTTCTCAACGATACCTGTTCTATACGATCCATTTTGAGGATTCTTCTTTTTGACCAAAAACACCAACAAAAATGTACGTGAAAGGTGATCTGTCCCGCTCCTGCTACTGGTCCTACATAACACGAAGCACCACCACGCCTATGCTGCTCTGGGTCCCTCTCTCGGACGGACCAAGGACAGAAAGAACACCTCCTTGTTTTAGACCTTCGAACGCTGAAGTTCGCCTCACCTCATCTGTGGTTCAGCCTGCCATGTGCTACTCGAACACATATATCCCACTCGCTTATTTACTCCCAAATTATATCCTACCTTCCTTCAGCCTGCAAATCCAGGAACTGTGGGCCTCGGAGTTTCATGCACTAACAAGGGAAGGAAACAGACCAATGAAACAGCAAGCCTTTACTTAGAATTTACTGGGTGCCAGACACTAGGCTGAGCACTTCTCCTACATTATCACATTCAGTCCTGACACCAGGATGTTTCACTGTCCCCGTTCGCAGCAGAGGAGTTAGGGGATGGGCTGAGGTGTGCTGAGTGCAAGGTGCAGTGAGAATTCCAGTCACTTGGGAGCCCTTGGCCTTGACCTTATGCCTACTGCCGCTCATGCTGAAGACCAAGGACAGCCAGGCTCAACAGTGCACCTGGGTCGAACAACTACACTGAACCCTCTTCCAAAGGATCACGTGGTAAGGGGGGGAACTGGTTATGATCTCTGTTAAACACTGATGGAAAGAAAGGCTTAATGATGTCACATGAGCACAGTGGTTCTAAATGAAACAGATTTCCCAAAGACCAGAATCTACACTTACCAAAGAAAACTCTTCAAGGAACTCTTACACACCCTCCCTCTCTTTTAAAAAAAAAAAAAGAAAATATGTTATCATTAACTATTTTCAATCAAATTTCTCACCATACATCCTTAACTCGCCTCCCACATCCAAGAACACAGCTGGCGAGACTGCAGAGGGGTGGGCCAGGTAAGGACCATCAATATGCCTTCTTGCAATAGATATTATTTTACCCACTTTTGGACACAAGAGAGGGAACCATCTGCCTTCTACCCTAGGCCCAAACAACTCTGTGATCTTTGGGCCTCTGCTGTCTCATTTACTGATATGCAAGCATAGCCATTAGCTTTTTACAGACTTTCACAGAATGCTATTTTGTTTTGTTTATTTAAGATAATAGAAAGTTTTCAGAGAACTCATCTCTTCCAGTTTGGCATGGCATGTAACAGAACTAAGAAACAGGAACACAAATAGACCCAAGTGCTTCTGGGAATTTAGTATATGATAAAGGGTGCTAGCTCCAGTCACTGGGAAAAAGGCAAGACTTCTCAATAAATAGTGATGGGATACTTTGGTAGCCATCTGGAAGAAAGATGGAGACACACTTCACATCCTACAAACAGGATGAATTCCAAATGCATCTAAGGTTTACCGTGAAAAATAAAAGTATAGAAGGACATATGGAAGAAATTCTTTATAGCCTTGAAGGAAAAACTTTTTTAAATCTATGACTAAAAATCCAGAAACCACAAAAGATGTTTGAATTCATCTACATAAAAATACAAACTTTTTTTACATGGCAAAATATACCCCAGGCAAATCCAAAAGACAAAAAGAAAAGGGATATTTGCAATTCGTGACACAGACCAAGGCCTACTCTTCCTGATTCAGGAAGAGCTCCTTACAATTGATAAGAAGACCAGCCAATCAAGAAAAAGAGGCAAAGGAAACTGGGTAGGAAAATATCTGCCTTTCAGATAAATGCTGGGCTTCAATAAAATAAACGTATACTAGAGTCATATGAAGATACCACCTCTCACCTATCAGACTGTCAGAGACCAGAAAATGTGGTAACAGATAGCACGGTGTCAATGTGAACTTCCCATTTTGATCACTATCATGTGGTTATTTAAAATGTTAACATCTGGGGCGCCTGGGTGGCTCAGTTGGTTAAGCGACTGCTTTCGGCTCAGGTCATGATTCTGGAGTCCCGGGATCGAGTCCCGCATCGGGCTCCCTGCTCGGCAGGGAGCCTGCTTCTCCCTCTGACCTTCCCCCCTCTCATGTGCTCTCTCTCTCTCATTCTCTCTGTCTCAAATAAATAAATAAAATCTTTAAAATGTTAACATCTGGGGCACCTGGGTGGCTCAGTCGGTTAAGCGTCTGCCTTGGCTTCTGGTCATGATCCCAGGACCCTGGTGCCAAGCTCCCTGTAGGGCTCTCTGCTCAGCAGGGAGCCTGCTTCTCCCTTTCCCTCTGTGTGCTGCTCCCCCTGCTTGTGCTCTCTCAAATAAATAAAATCTTTAAAAATAAATAAAATGTCAACATTTGAGGAAGCTGGGTCAAGGGAGGCAGAAGTTTTTTGTATCATTTTTGCAATTTTTTGTAAGCTAAAATGTATTTCAAAATAAAAGAACAATTTTTTTTATTTTAGTGTGATAAAACGGCGTATTTGGTGAGGCTATGAGGAAGCAGGTAGGCTCGTGCACTGGTGACGAAAATGCAAAATTGCACAACTCTATGAAAAGCAATTGGGTAAGACGTATGAAAATAGAAACAGCCTAAATGCCCATCAGTAGGAAAACAGTAAAATACATTACATCTAAAGACAAAGCGCTTTTCACTTATAAAACAGGAGGAATGTCTCTAAGTTCTAAATAGGAAAGAGTTCAAAAATAGATAGTTACCTCAGAAAAACAAGGTAAGAACACTTCAGGTTATTTTCCCCAAATGCGTTTATCTATGTAGAGACTTAACTACCACTTGGCTGCTGGGTTAAGCTGCCTCACGTATATCCTGGCAGTTTATCCTCGTTATGTTGAGATTCATGACCCATTTGAACTTAATTATCAGTAACCTTGGTGAGCTCACTACAGGCTTCTCCATCTAAATAACCCATAAAAATATGTTTTTAATCCAAGCTACAGGGATCTCTGAGGAACCTCACCATTGATATCTGATTATCTGAAGATGAAAGCATTTCACCCTTCATTTCTTCTAAAATCAGTCCCCAAACTCTTAGGTTACTTTTTATTAAATTGAGATATAATTCACATGCCATAAAAATTCACCAATTAAAATGTACTATTTAATGGTTTTACTTATTTTTGAAAGTTAATAGAGAAATCTCTTTATATTATAAAAAGAAAAAGGGGGGAAACAAGAGGGAAACTAATGAGTTGAGTAACCTATTACTTAGATATTTCCAGAACATTCTGGACGTACAACAAACCATAAACCTTGCCTCTGGTAAGGCCATCTGGGCGCCCGGGATAGGAGGAAGGCTTCCCTCCATGTTAGATTTCAGTTGCCTTTTGCCTGTTTGTTTGCTTTTATATGTATTACTCTTTCAAATAAAAATTTCCTTCAACAAAATAATAGCAGATAGAAAACAAATCTTACAATAAGCTAACCTTAACACCTACTCCTTTCACAGAACACTAAATCCTACAGATACTTCTGTTCAAAAACACATCTTCTGGAGCTAGGAGATAATTTAATATTCGCCCTGAAATAGATGGATCACACCAGTAAATGAACGAAAATGTAGTTATAATTTTGTTCTCTTCGGAAATGAACTGAATCAGATTAATGCAGCTAGTCATCCTGCAGTCAGACCTTCCTTAGGATGATTAAACTCTTTAAAAATCTGCAGCTAGTTGCCAGTACCTTTAAAAAAAAGTGATGAAATCATAAACTAATGAGTCCACCCCAACCTGCTGAAAGAGTTCTCAGTGCCAAATTTACGAACTAGTTTTGTTTTCTAGAAGCATCCTGCTTCCACAGAAAGGCAGAAGCTTATAGGCATCCACAATCTAAGGTGCTTTGTTTTACCTGTGGTTACAAAACACTTGGCTTCTGCTCCCTCATTCCAACTATGGGAGAACCATAATGAATCTCATCTTGGTTGTGAGTTGCTGCAAACCCAGGGACTTATCGACT